CGGGGAACAATTACGATGTCGTGAGTATTATCGAGAGATGCTCATCAATCTTCAAGGCGAGACTATAAAGACCGACCTCTATTCATTACTGTTGGTAGGACCCGACATAGTTCTTGGAGTACAATGGCTAGAAGGACTTGGAGAAGTCAAAACAAATTACAATGAGGGGATAATAGCTAGAGTTATACTCGGTAAATAGGCTTGCCATGCTAAAGACCAAACCTAGAAATGGTGCCAAAGGCGCAGAGATAAAGAGCTTAGAGCTAATGGACAAATGGAGCATACACAAGCGACATTTTTGGATCCTTGAGGACAAGTGTTGTAGCAAAATATACTTTTACCGAGTACCGAATCGAAAGGTTCGTTCTTCAGGTCGATCTCAAAGAAGATTAGTCGGATATACTTGTACGATTATTCTAACGCGAAAAGAGAAAAAAAACCTAAACATCTAATCAAGATGGCTGGTTTTAATTATCAACTACAAAAGAAAACTCAAACAATGCAAAATCGAATATAAAAGCAAAGGCGAAGATCAAACGATGATAAGAACCTAGGGAGTCGGGGATGATGATTCTCAAACCAATGCAAATACCAAGCTAAGATCATTCGGTTAAATGATTCGAACAACCTAACGTCTAGAGATTACTCCTCAATGACTCTTCGTAACAAAAGGGTAACATAGACGACAAATCACACAAATCACGCAACAAATAGCCAATACAGTTACGAACATGCCTACTTATATGAGCCTAGATCGATCAACTCCTCCCTTTTCGGTTCTGAGAGTCAATTAAATTATCCTAGATGATTGTTAGTCAACTAGTCCGTTATATTTAAAAATTTCACACAAGAACAAATCGCATTCAATTGGAAATCAATTACAAATCGAAGTGTCACTCGTTGACAATATTGAACATTCAATGCACGATAACTATAAATCCCAGTTAAGAACAACTCGCATAAATTAAACGATCGACAAGCATGTTAATCACAATCAAACTCTAAACATCATTGTTGTACATGAAATTTAACAACTACTAAACAATGTAATTAAAGCTAGGAAAATAAGGACTTTGTATTATTTCTGAGTATTTGTAGTGCACAGGAAGTTGGTTTAAATGTGAAACGAGTTGATATTTACTTTTTTCTGTAATCAAGAAATTGTTTCAAAAAACAGACCCTCTCTGCAATAACAAATTCTACTATTTTATAGTAGGGTATGCTTTGACTTCTGGTATGAGGTAGATAGGATTGCATTTAATGCACTGCGCCTTTTTGAAGTGGTCTGGTACTTGCGGAGGAGACAACAGTGATTACATATGCTGTATGCGGTCCAATTAGAATTATGCCTTGTCACCTGCTTTGAAGTTCGATATGGTCGGTCCTTGGTTTATGGGTCAAGGTTTCAAGAATCTTCGAGAAGTCAGTTGTTGCTGGATCTTTTAAGAAGTCGGTTTGATTGCCCAGTTTGAACCGAAGTAGGTCATATACCGAGGTGAGTCATGTTTAGCACAGGGACGAGTTTCACGCGATAATCACGATTATTATTATTTTAAGGTAGACGATCCAAGTCGATTCACAACAGAGAGGCCCCCGACATTAACAGGCATACAAGTTTTTATGGCTAATGATGTCGTTATTGTGCATAGGAAAAACCAACTTGAAGCATTTTTATTCCGAGATGCTCTTGCATGCCGATGGTGTTTATAATTCGACGTCGTAACACTTGGCATTTTTTATTTTGTTTGCTTGAGATCGAAAATGACGGTTGTCTATACACATGGCGGTTATGAAAAGACGTGCCTGTATTTAATAGGTGGAACATATATAAATGTTGTGATGAGGTGTCAGTTGGCGATTGGTCCTCCTGTATTAATGAAGGGTGCCGAAGCGTTTCGTCATTAAGGGACGCGTCCGTTACACGCGCCCCTCTTTGTGGCACTCAACGGTCACAATTGGAACCCTTATAAATAGCAACAATTTTGATCCTTGTAGGTTTTACTTCGGCAATTTATGAATTTGCAATCTTCTGAACTCTTTCATTTTCTGATTTCAACTGCTTTTTCTCGTATGAACTTGAGCGATCAGCTTTGCTTTTATTAAAGAATGTGTATATGACACGTAACCTGAAGTTGTGAGAAGATTTGATCAATTAATTTGTATATCACACTTAACTTGAAGTTCGAGATGGTTATGAAAGAATGAAAATAAGTGTCATATGAAAGTGATAAAGCTAGTAATATACTCAACTGATATGAATGAGATCTTGAAATAATAATGTGCACATTATAAGTGATATGAGTTCAAAGTCCTCCTATTATATTTTGAAACCGAGAATGGAATAGAAGCAATATGAACTCCCCTCCATAAATTTAATACTAATCAGATGTGTGAGTGAAGTTTTATATAGATTTGTTAAAATGAAGGGGAGATTCAAGAATTGAAGTTTGTAAATGATATTTATAAATGCATGACACTGAAAGTATGAAGATCATAAACTCAATGATACTGATGATAGTGAAATATATGATGGTGGAATAATACGCTGGAGGCTTTAGCATTGTGCAAATTGAAATTCTTCAAATTTATAAGTGATGAAATGAGGTATATACTATTGATGAAAAGTATGTAATAAGGAAAATTATACTATTAATTGAGAAAAAGTTATCTCATAATGTTAAGTTAATATGAGGAATAATGGAAATGAATAAGTGTCGACACAATCAAATAAATAACGCTACAAATGATAGTGACGAGAATGAAATCAACTTAATGTGAATTTTGAAAACAATTGGCAGTAAGACCATTGAAATACACTGATAATGAGAATGAGTTTAAAATGGACAATTTCATAAAATATGATATGATATATTATTATGAATACCATCCGCATTTGAAAATCTGAATGAATAAATCTATATGATACTCGTACAAATTGTCGAAATGTTGTTATGATTAATATATGGAATACACGTTGTACTCTTTTTTCTTTGGCCGAGGTTTTCTCTCATTGAGTTTTCCCAGCAAGGCATTTGATGAGGCAACAATGATGACATATTCACATGAGCAGTGTACTCTTTTTTCATTAGGATTTTTCTCCAACTGGGTTTTGCCTAATAAGATTTAAACGAGACATATTGATGGTATATTGAGGACTAGAGGTTAAATGGCATAATTCCTCATGATGATAATAAGAGACTAGAGTAGTTGTATTCTTTTTTCTTAGATCAAGTTTTTTTTCCCACTGGGTTTACTTTTATTGGCAATGTTTTAAATGAGGCAGCACATGGATACACCACTAAAGATGATTTGTTTGGGGGGG